AAAGTAACACAGCACCGTAGCGCAAAAAATGGCCATGTCAGGAAGGGGGGTAAATCCTCTGGAGGGCAAATGGTTAAGTAGAGAGAGCGACAAGATGGATATCAGTTTTGGAGCGCTGCGACTAACAAATCTGCACTTTACTTTAGTAGCTCCTATGTTTGTGGATTTGCAAACAGGTTGAGAAGATTATTCTTAAGAACACATCACTTCATTCTTTTCTTATGTAGTGAAAAAGCTATTGCACCTGTCTTGTTTAGTTTATTCTTTGTTAGAATTTAATTTTCAACTTAATTAACTCCTTCCAGTCCCTTAACGCAGCTTGTCTCTTCCCCTTCCCTGTCAACCAACTGGGGTACGCTCTAGCTGTTGGACAAGAAGTAATAACTTCAGCCTCTCTCACAAACGATTCAATAGAGGAACAACCCTCAAGGGCCCTTACAAACTCCTCTGTGGGGCTACAAGACCATCAGCAAGAAGCTTGCTGAGAAGGAGACAATTGTTGGAGTGATTATTCGCAAATGGAAGAAATACAAAATAACCATCAAGTGCCCTCGGTCTGGAGCTCCATGAAAGATTTCTCGTCATGGGGTAAGGATGATCATGATAAAAGTGAGGGATCAGCCCAGAACTACACGGGAGGAACTTTTGAAAGATCTCAAGGCAGTTGAGACCAGTCACCAAACAAACCGTTAGTAACACAATATGCCGCCATGGATTGAAATTCTGCAGCGCCCGCAAGGTCACCCTCCTCAAGAAGGCCTATATACAGGCCCATCTGAAGTTTGCCAATGAACATCTAAATGAATCAGAGAAAGATTGTGAGAAAGTGCTGTGGTCAGATGAGACCAAAATTGACCTCTTTGGCATTAACTCAACTCGCCGTGTTTGGAGGGGAAAAAAAATGTTGACTATGACATGAACACCATTCCTACATTCAAGCACAGAGGTGGAAACATTATGCTTTGGGTCTGTTTCCTTGCTAAAAGTACAGGCCAACTTTGCCGCCTTGAGGGGCCAATGGATGGGGCTATATATTGTAAAATCTTGGATGAGAACCTTCTCCCCTCAGCCAGAACACTGAAGATGGGTTGTGGATGGGTCTTCCAGCATGACAGTGACCCAAAACATACCACCAAGGCAACAAAGGAGTGGCTAAAGAAGTACATTAAGGTCATGGACTGGCCTAGCCAATCTCCAGACCTTAATCTTATAGAAAATTTTATGGAGGGAGCTGAACCTTCAAGTTGCCAAGCGACAGCCAAGAAACCTTAAGGATTTAGAGAAAATCTGCAAAGAAGAGTGGACCAAAATCCCTCCTGAGATGTGTGCAAACCTGGTAACCAACTACAAGAAATGTCTTACCTCTGTGCTTGCCAACAAGGGATTCTCTACCAAATGCAAAGTCATGTTTTGCTTGGGGATCAAATACGTATTTTACTCACTAAACTGCAACTCAATTTATAATATTTGTGCCATGTGTTTTTTCTGGATTTGTGGTTGATATTCTGTCTCTATTATTTAAAATACACCTATGATACAAATTATAGACCCTTCATTTCTTTGTAAGTGGGCAAACTTGTAAAATCTTCAGGGGATCAAATAATTATTTTCCCCACTGTATCTAGACAGTGAAGGAGTAGCAGACTGATCTGTCGCTCTGCTCTCCCTTCATGTCAGCATGCGTGTTCCTTGTTTGCGCTTGACCACTGCTTGACATCTTAGTTCTGCATACAGTGAATTGCAAGGAAGCTGATACTTTTCAAATTGAGGTACTTACATTAACTGCTTTTAAAACTACACTTAGGGGCTGATTTATAACATTTAGAGAATATTGTTATCGCCTCCCCATCATACTCTGCTGGGGTGTACACACCATGGAACAGTTATTAAATGCGAGCTGGGAATGGCCCTAGCTCTCTGTTTAATGCAGCAGAGAGATCTGTGATTAAGAGGGCCAGGAATGGGGGCAGAGAGGGTCCCAGGGGCTGTCAAAGCCACGGTGTCCATTGAAGGAAATGCCACACAGAGGCTCAAGCTCTAAAGGGATTCATAAAAGTTGAAGGTGGGAGGAATGCTCAACCCATGGTTGCCAAGTTTTTGTATATCTTCAGATATATCTATATTTTTGTATCCTATCCCACTAAACCTTTTCACAGCTTATTGCTGTGCTTTATAAATGTATTTATTTTTTAATGGTCAAGTGGTATGTCTGAGGTACGGCTATACCACTGATTTATAAATCATCCTTTATTTATTTTACTGAACATACAACATGAGTTGGCATTTCTTATTTTCCTGGAGTTCAACTTTAAAGTAATGGGAGGAACATGTAGGTAGCTATTGCTGACTTCTGAAAATACTGGTTGTTTGGCTGTCACTTGCTTCAGTACTTGATTTACTGAACAAGAATAAGCATATGGCAGGTGTCATTGGAGTGTGAAGGATCTAGATGTGCATACTTGTTTAAGGGAGTGACAAAAAAGTACTGAAGCATTTTGATCTGCATTAAATTCTTTTAGATGGAAAAGTCATCAGTGGCAGCTTAAAGGACCCTTCAGTGAGCTTACAGTCCAATGTCCACACACACGCAGAAGAGAGCTGACGTAACGCTGCTTCCAGAAGTTTCGGGGCAATGTCAATAGAACATTTGATACTTTCCTGGTGTTATGGTTGCATTAGAAAGTCCTTCTGCAAATTTATGAAAGCCATGTGACCATTTTCTTGTTTTCAACACGTGTAACAAATTCAGGTGGTTCTTTTGTGCGACACTTGTACATTCTGGTGCTATGGCTGTGACAAATTCATTAGGAAATACTGCCATATGAGTGATAAGAAAAGTGGAAGGTAAATAAGACCTCTTTCTTGTTGGGGTTATATTGCCACAATTGTAAGTATTGCTGTAGAGGCAATTCTGCAACAGATTCATATACACCTTACCAAAAGTGACATGAATCTGTGGCCATTTTGTTACACAGAGGGGAGACAGATTTCTATTGAGTTCATACGACACTATGAATTGCAGGGACTGTATTCTGATTACTACATGTAACTAGTACTTGCAGAGTTCAGTAAATTAGTACTCCTTTTTTTTTTTAATTAATACCAAAGTAAGATTTTAGTATAGTACGGGAAATATCACCACAGCAAGGCTGTTTAGATTAATCTTTTAGGCATGGCTGCAACAGTTACAGGGGAGGTTTACATTAAGAGAATAAAGCAATCTTTTTCAATGTTGATGTAATTCCTTGAATTTTACTGCATAATCTTATATGTGTGTTTTATAGAAAACAACACAGGCTCCTCTAAGGAGCTTAAAGATGATCTTAGATTTAAAAAAAAAAAAAAATGCAAAGAAGAAAGGATCGCCACTAGTCCCGACCAGCGTAGGTGAATGAAAGATAAGAAGCGGCCTCAGCCTACATGTTTCCACCAAACCACACACCGAGGGTCTGGGACACAGGAAAAAATCAGTCAGGAGCTACAAATACTGTCGCTGCTGACTTTTAATGTACAGATACTTGCCAGCCCAGGGATGTAACTATGTCTTCACACAGGCTCGTTCTTCGGGTCCTCAGCATTGCCATCTTGATCATGGAAAGCCTGCTGTGGCTTCAGGATGCTTCCTAGGAGGTTGTGGGTGGGGAAGAGGGGCTGAACTTCGGCTCGACTTGCTTAGGTGAGTCAAGCAGAAATTAGAGCTGGTACCTACCAGAAATAGACACCCTCTCCCCAGAAAAAAAAAAGAACCTTCCAATACAGGCAGAGCAGGTGGAGATGAGGACTACCAGCAGAACTATCTTTTGTAAGTGAAATTCTGCTTTAATGAAGCTAAGATTAATTTGGTTAACTATGCCACAGAGAAGGGAAAAGATGGTGAGAGGATGTATGGGGGAGAAGTGAATGTACAATTGTAGGGATGAAGGAAAGAGGTGTGCAGTAGGAACAGTCCCTCTCTTGTCCATTTGATGAGAGGCCTGAGAGGTCTTGCTTCTGGTGTCAAAAATGCTAAGTAATGAGGGGTTTGGGGTGGTGCGTTTTAGGTCTTAAAGGTTTTAGAATTTATGAACTGAATTCTTACATTTCATTCCATCAAGGTATTGTGCGTGTCTATTATATATTTAAGCTGTTAGGTCCTTCATAAGCAGCATATTTTGTTGAACCACTTCTTGAAGGTAGAAGATACTATTATTAAGAATAAATGAATTCGTCCCTTATTCCTTCAGTGTTGCTGTCACCATATTATTATTTATTGCTCCCAGAGTAACAAGTACTATATGCTGGTTTTTCAACAATCAGCATATTACTCTGGTGAGTTCTATTTAACCATTTTTGGTGTGGATTCACTTGGTGATTAATTATTTTGGACATTATTGATTATTTGAACTTTTTGGACTTTTTCGTTTTTGCTGGATTTTATTTTGATTTAAAATATTGTTTCTTATTGTTTTGTTACATTTTTTGTTACACTTTTGTATGTATTTAAGTGCAACCTATATTTTTTTGAAGTTTTGTATATCCTATAAATTTATAGGCTAGGTTTTGCAGCTTACTGTTGTCTTATACAATTTTCGTGGCGCTGGCTCCTTACTTATATATAAAACTATAACACTGTCTGGTGTGCTTAAGCAGAAATTGCAACAGTTTTTATTTAAAAAAAAGATTAAACTATGGCAATGAAAGGTAACCATTTTAAGCACTCCAGGCAGTGTTCTAGTTGTCCCAGTTCATGTCAATTTTATTGTACAGCTTGTTCTTAATATAAATGTGGAGAAAATACAAAAAAGACATGCCAAATAAATGGTTTCATAAAGTGATATTCTGATTACATCGATTAACTGCATATAGTTATCAGAATACAATATTTTTGCAGTATTGGTTCATTGATGAGCTACGAGCAGCTGATCCAGATGGCTTTACCAGAGAACATTATATCTTTCAACATTTTAACTGTGTAGCAATTCTAAGTATTAATAATTATTTTATCTTGTCTGTTATTCCAGTTGTAAGAGACAAGCTTCAGAACTGGGAAGAATTTCTTGTTCAGACATTGAATGGTGCTTGCAGTGCTCCTGCTCACCTACTAGACGGAGTAAGTATACCCTTTACGTGTTCTCTTTTCTGTAGAATATAGGCCAGCATACTTTATCATTTACATTTGATCCACCATTCATAGCATTTGTTTCCTTTTACGTGCTAAAATTGAGACCACAAATGTTACACTTGGCATTTATAGATCTGAAGAGTCTGAAAAAATTAACACTTCGTTGGTTAGATCTGCAAATTATTTAGTGCTGACATGGGTGTTAGCAATTTAAAGTGATTGTAAACCCTCACCATGTAAAACAGCATATTCAGTTTAAAATAGAAATGAGAGGAAAAACATTCGTGTATAAATATATATATATATATATATATATATATATATATATATATAAAATATACATTTTCCCCTTTTTTAAATAAGCAATCACATACTCTTTGTTCTCAGAATAAGAGCTAGGGGAGGATAAACAGCAGGACACTGATCTTCCCAGGCTGTGCAAGGGGTGTGTTATGACAAGTTTGATCATTGGAGGAGTGCAGACTGAGTTCCCAGCACAGCTAAAGAAATGACTGGCAGGAACACCTGGGATTACACACAAAGGAAGCAATACAAAGAGAACTGGATACTTTTTCATACAAGTACATGGTACAACAGGTCCATATCATGAATATGAATTGTTGGGTTTACATATTCTTCAAATGCATAACAAAGTTTGATCTTCTATTGGTGGCATTATGGACATTATATATCCAAACCTGGAGCAAGCATGCAACAAATGATAGGCGGTAAAAAAAACATTGTCTACTTGTTGCTAGTTTGTAAAATTACTCAAAGTATCACCATGACACTACATTAGTTTTGATAAATCTAAAGGCAGTTGTGCAGATTGTAATATGTAAGGCTGCCTTAAGAGAGTGACCACTTTTCCATTGTCTGTATCATACTCATGTAGCTTATTGCTGGCTGTATACCAGGAGAAGGCAACCTTGTGAGCATGGGGTGCCGTAAATTGTTTTAGAAGAAATTGAAAGTGCCAGTTATATTAAAAATGTCAACTTTACACACTCAATCATGAAAAGGAATTTTTATACAGTAAATGCTGTAAACTGTTTGAGTAAACTGTTTGAATAATAGTAATAAAAAACATTAAGCTTTCAAAGATGGTAAATGGTAACTTACCCCTTTTCCAGAACACGTGCTGTGAGGCAAGTATGGTGAAGTTGACATGAATATGTCAACCGAGGACTTCTGCGAAATATGCAGTTGGAAATTAAGTGTGTGATGATAGTGGTCACCCTATGGTACCTTCACACCTCAGATCACCGCAATTCCTGCACCTTCACACCTCAAATCACTGCAATTCCTGCACCTTCACATGTCAGACCACCCCAGTATCTGTACTTTTACACCCTAGATCACCCCAGTTCCTGTACTTTCACACACCATATCAGCCCCAATTCCTGCACCTTCACACCTCAGATCAGTCCCAATTCTTGCACCTCCAGGTCCCAGATCAGCCCCAATCCCTGCACCTTCACTCCTTAGACCACCCCAGTTTCTGTACCTTCGCACCTCAGCTCACCCCAATTCCTGCACCTTCGCACCTCAGCTCACCCCAATTCCTGCACCTCCAAGCCTCAGATCAGCTCCAGTTTGTGCACCTTCACACCTCAGATCACCCCAGTCCCTTCACCTTTACACCTCAGATCACCCCAAGTCCTGCACCTTGACACCTCAGATCATTCCCAATGGCTACACCTTCACACCTCAGGTCACTCCCAATATCTGCACCTTCAAACCTCAGGTTATCCCAATTCGTGCATCTCCAGACCTCAGTTCACCCCAATGCCTGCATTTTTACAACCCAGATCAGCCCCAATTACTGTTCCTTCAGGCCTCAGGTTAGTCTCAATTCCTGTACTTGTTACTCATAAAAGATTGCTGTGAAAGGGGTTAATAGCTATTTGAAGATAAACCTCTCTGGCTATATCCCCTCCAAGCTGAGCCAGGTGCCTGGATGCTGAAGGAGAGAAATGTTATGAGGGAGGACAGGTACACCGATAGTAAAAACCTGACAGAGGAGGGAACTATATTGTTTACATACAGTTCTCTCTCCCGTTGGTAATACTCGGTGATCACCGGGTGCTGGCAAGTAATCACCGGCCGGGACCTGGTGATAGACAGCTGAGGCTGTGAATGGCAGCGCGGGTAGGGCCTCCTACCCGGAAATGCAAAATCATGTATACATACGTGATTCTGCGCACCCCTGCTGCCCTGTAGCAGCTATGGGGGGTGGGAAAGCGGTTAATCAGAGTTGAATTGCAAGCACTGAGACAGGGGAGTTCCTGGCAGCAGGACAGAAGGACTGAACATGTTGCACACGCCCTGATGACATTTTTTTTGGGTGTGTGTAACATGCAACTGGTTAAACCAAATCATAAAAATTACTGAATAGAACAAGGCAAGAGTGGGTTAAAATTGAAGAAGATTGCCATACTGTACGTACCTCCAGTTCTGCAACTTTAAAGAAGGTTGTATAATAAGATTTTAATGTGTGGCCAGGTTTACCTATTTCAGTGAATGAACTATCTTCAGTTAATAATAACTCTTTTTTTTCTATGCACCACCAATGGTTGTGGTTAATAAGTCCATTCTGCATGCATGCCTCATAGCCAAAAGCTAGTGGTTGCCATAGTATTAGGCCCAGTTCACAGTAGTGCAGGCATTGCAGCCCTTTCATTTGGGTTGCTTTGCCGCATGTCCCACACAAAAAAGGTGCATGCTCCATTTTAAAAACGCATCTGCATTGTAGTTTTAAAAGCAGTCACATGGTCATGAGGTTTAAAGATGCTGCATTGTTTGTTTAAATGCACCTAATGCACAAAGTAAACAATGGAGAGACCAATTCCAACAACAGAAATTGGTAAATTTACATTTTTAAATAGTAAGCTCCTATTCAGCATTTGTGAAATTTTAGGTATCGGTAAAATGATGGTCACCTTGTGTATTATGCTTCATATGGTACTCAGGGATGGCTGCAGCTTTTGCCTTTTTGTCTGTTAAATAGACAATTAAAAGTATTTTGTCATATCTGTTCAATAAGTTATAAAAATACCTGTTGATTACACCAGAAACCTTGTGAACTGATAAATTCATGAGGTCTCTGCCAGTGCTGACTGTTATCAGTTACTTTTCTCAGCTCTCTCTAAGGACTACATAACCCCTGCATTTTATGTTAAGGGAAAGGGAGGGGGGTGTTTTTCTTGTGTGTGTTTTTAGTCTAAAGTGAACTTGTCCTGTAAGTTATTTTTGTAGCCGCCATTTGTTTTCATTAGTGGTAGTATTATTAGGTGTGTGCTTGTAAATGTGTTTGTCTTCTTCTGTTTATTTAAAGCCACACCGAGGTAAAGACCCATTAGACCTGTTTGAACCAAGTTCCTTGCTGGAGCTTCAGCATTCCCAGGGATCACTGGGTGCATGGCCAGTCAGAGTGCTGGACAACATAGGTGGGAGACTTCAACTTCAGTATGAAGGGGCCCCTGACTGGCCGAGTTTGCAGTATTACTACCTACATCCTTCCCTGCATCAAATGGGATGGGCTGCTCAGAATGGCTATGAGATAAAGCCTCCTCAAGGTAATGGATATTTTTTCTGTGATCAGTTATATACTGTATATGTTAATTTTATGTCTTGTTGGAGTTTGATTGTTGCAGTCATCTTCTGATTTTTTTTATGCCTCTTGGAAATTCAGCAGTGAGATCCCCCAGCATAATTTCCTGATTTGTTTCCACCCACTTTAGAGTTTCATTCCTCTTGCTGAAGCACAGATGTTCTCTTTCCTGCTCTTGCATATTTAACATTGAACCCTTAAACCCTTTCAATTGCTGTGGCTGGTGTGCTAATCTGGGAATGTAGATGTATGCACCATTCCAGTCCTTAAAATATATAAGAAGCCATTAGGCAGTGTAATCCATAAGTATCTAGCAAGGACTGATATATTTATTTTTTGTGGAATGACCTTGTAATTTGAGATAATAAATATACACATGGTATAAAGGAAGTATCATCTGTTGTATTTTGCAGAAATATTGCACCTAAAAACTGAAGAAGAGTGGAGAGAAATATTGACCAAGTGCAATGAAGAAACTGGAGATTTTGTACTTGCAGACTTCTTCCAGGTAAACATGTTAGCAAAAGATTGATATAAAAACGATACAGTTATGTAATTTATTAAGTGCATTAGAGTTTGCTGTTCACATTAGTTGGTTTTTGCCTTTCACTTAAATAAGGTAGGTAGCTGAACCTTACAATCCACATGTTTCCTTATATATATGTGTGAGTGTGTATATATATGTGTGAGTGTGTATGTATATGTATGTGTGTGTGTATATATATATATGTATGTATGTATGTGTATGTGTGTGTATATATATATATATGTGTGTGTATATATATATATATATATATATATATATATATATATATATATATATATATATATATATATATATATATATACTAATAAATATCTGTTAGGTTAACTATTGCAACATTAGCTTTCAAATACTATGCCTACAGGCTGTAGAGGCAGGGTGGAAGTTTTTTCCTTAAAGAGTAAGTTCACCTTTACTGCACTTTTCCTACAAAACCCCTGTGTATTCCAGGATTCCCAGCACATTACATACCACTGCTTAACTGGTAAGAATGTTGCTCCTTTTCCCCTCCATTTGTGTAGGCCGTGTGTTATCTGCCAGCAAATACTTTGGGGTAAGACGTTAAAAGTGCACCCCAGCGGCTGCTCCGCTTTAAATTACATGCCTGTACAATATGCCTGATCCTCTCTAGCAACCATGGCTGAGATGGAGGGGGTTTGAACATCAAGGAGTTTTTGCTAACAGGCCCCATGCAGCCTACACATTTGGAGAGGAAAATTAGCATTTTGTTTTTTTTGCTGGCTGAGCATTGGTTTGTATTGTACTGGGGAAATAACTATAGCTCTGCTTTTGTGGAAGGAGAGGTCAGCTACCTGTGTATTTCTCAAATTCCAGTTATCAATTTCTAAAAATGAAGAATTGGCTTATGTAAATGTGCACTTTTTAAAACTTAGAAATCAGATGCTGCTATTTATTTGCAAAGGGGGCTTTTGTGTTCTTTTAGTCCTTTTTCAAGTTCACTTTACAGTTGACCTACTACTATTGCACTGGCTTCAGATACTGTATGCAGTATAAAATCCGTGTGGCCACTGCTTTGCCCCCAGAAAATGGGTGTTACAAAGCCCATTCATAGGTGCTATTGTGTACAGCAGCTGAGATCTGTTGAATAGTGATATGCAAGAAATGTGGATGGAAAAATAGAACTGATGCAACTGAAGTTGCTTAAAGATTAATTATAAGGCACATAATATGAAGAATATGTGACTAAATAATATTTGGGTCTTGGGTACAGGTCGGATCAGCTCTAAAGTTTATAAGTGAGGATACAAATATGGCAGTTGCCAGAGGTAACTTGGTTTTAGAGGTGCAGACTGGGGCTGTCATCCAAAAATCTTATCTTCTGCCCTGCATACTCCTTCTAGTATGGTGTCTCACTGGGTAGTGAAGTCAGGATCAGGAGGACAGCCACTGAAATACTGCACACTTGTTATAGATTGCTACAAATTAGTGACTAGGATCAGCATGAACATTCTAACACCCCTTCAGAAACAAGTCAGCAGTGGCAGTGGCTCACTGTTATGACTTATCTTAAAGTGGGCCTTGCTTACAGTCTTGTTGGAATAGAAAATTTGTGTTTTTCCTGGAGTCAATGCTGCACCAGGGTTAACTGATTTTTTTTTTGGCTAAAATGCTAGGCTTTTTTTTCATATAATGTTTACTAGACACATACATGAGAGAGAGCTGTGCTATGGTATTATTTATTTATTAATTACAGGTACTTGTATAGCGCTGTCATTTTACATAGCGCTTTACATATATATTGCACATTCACATCAGTCCCTGCCCTTGTGGAGCTTACAATCTAAGGTTCCTAACTCACATTAATACATTTACTATGACCAGTGCAGACAGGAGCCAATTAACCTTCAAGCAAGTCTTTGGAGTGTGGGAAGAAACCAGAGTACCTGGAGTAAATGCATGCAATCACAGGGAGAACATGCAAACTCCAGGCAGGTAGTGTCGTGGTTGAGACTCGAACTGACGATCCTAATGCTGTGTTATAGAATAAAATGGAGATGCAGAATCCCACTAATCAAGCTTTGGTAGATCTGAGAGGTTAGCAGGTCTATTACCCTGGTAGTCACCCAATCTGAAGTAATAGTATTAATTAGAAGTAAAAAAAAAAAAAGCAAACAACAAATGAGGGCACATTCTGTGCAGGCTTTTAGGGAAATTGATAGACCATTTGCGTTATAGAGACAAGAATTCAGTGAAGTCCTGACCACAGGCTACTGGTTGCAAGGTTACAATCAAGAGAAATTTGATTTTTCTGTCAGTTAAAGAAAATGTTTGCGAGATACAGATTTAAACAGGTAATTCTATTACATTAAATTTCTAAATTGTATATCAATTTATGTAAAAGCCTATAATTTTACAGTAGAAACACATGAGCAAACTACACATTAATTTTCATTAAAATAAATCATATTTATTTAGTCTGATTAATAAAATAATATTTAAAGTGGGATCTCACCTAAAGTGGTGTAAAGGCTGGGGGGTGTTTTACCTTTATGCACTCTATGCATGAAGGTAACAACCCATCTGGATACAGTGAGGTGCACAGGATCAGAAGGCTTTCCCTGGTCTCTCTCTTCATTGGCTGGCCAGGAGCGCTAGCAGGGGAGCCAAAAAGGGGAGATTCAAGACTGCTCTGTGCAAAACCATTGCACAGAGTAGGTATTTATGACATGTTGCTTTTAAAACAACAAAAGCCTTTAGTGTTACTTTAACCATGTATCTTTAACCAACTTTTACAAAATGGTCAGATGCGTAAAGCTCCTTGAATTAAAATACAAAGCTTGAGCATGCTGTTGCCATCTTACATATCCCAGAAATGGGGGAGCAGCCCAGGGCAGAGCTCCAGTCTTCAGCTACTGAGACCATAACATACCAGCAAGGGCTGAAAGCATCCAAGGTATAGCTGCCAAAATAAGGCAAAAATCAGTATTGTTTATAAAAACAGGACAATTGTATATTTGATAGAAAGTAATTACACTTACAGCTCTTATTGTAAAGAAGACACACAGCCATAAAAAACTTATAAATGCTGAATAGAGTAGCTGAACCAAGGTCTGATTGGTCAGGCAATACTGCAGGTCATACTTCGAAAAAGACTCCTATAGCCATACTGTCAGCCATATATAAAGAGGTAGATCACTAATGGGAAAGATTGCAGAAACAATAATGGATATAGAGTCAGATCAGGAATGGTGGTCATGTAATTAAATCAAAGAAGTTATCACATACCTCGAAGTATAACTGGCGTGCACAACAGCAGAATGATATTACTCCTGAATGTAGGCTACAGACCTATATATAGGCTACAGGTGGATGCAAATCCAACCAATCAGGGGCGGAGGGCTGGACCTGCCCAACTGACCAGCCAATCCGCCCTCATATTAATTGGGAAAGCCCCCCCCGCCCAGCAGCGGACAGTAAAACCATATCCACCCATAAAGCACACCGTCGGCGTAATGACGTCATGCGCTGCTGGACCGCCAGTGCACTGCAATGGCTCCATCAAGGTGCGGGAGCTGGATAATATAGAATTCGCATATATATTCCCTACGTGGTTGACCAATGGGCTATGCCCAGACTCCGAAGCAAATTCTGCTCTGTTCAACACAAGGGAAAGTAAGGAGAGGTCCATAGAATAGAACTAGTACCATAGCGTAGTACTTGTAGAGCATTTTATTAAAAGCAAAATATTGCACACACATAAATAGAAATGGTACAGTTTGTAAATAAAGTAATCTGATAGAGAAATCCCAAGTATCAGACTGTTTGTGAGATGGTGTCGCACCTCCTGGCTCTGGCCTATGCATTTCATCATAGATGAGATCATCAGGGACAGATTTTTATGCGTCTGGGACTTTCTCTGATGGAGCCTCGAGGTGCATGCAGTGTTGGCTGCTGGATCTTAAAGGGGAGATTTTTAAAATTTTTTAACATTTGCTTGGCACTTTGTGCTGAGGAACGCATATAAATAGATTGCAAGCAGGAAGTGTTTACATGACATATCTTGTATTACTTCATACACTCTGTTGTCCTTGAGGATTCTTTTGTAGCACTGTTTTTGTCTAGTGCCTAATTTAGGATTTTAGGAGAAGTTGGATAAAAGAAGCAATGCATAATTTCAGTATTCTATCCTATTGCTGTTGTGGTACATCTGTACATTGACACAGTCAACTGTTATCTATTGCCAGGATTTTTTCCCTGTGACTGAAACTGAGGTGTCTTCATACATGGTGTTGCTGAATTTCTGGGTTGTATTATGGTAAAGTGAAATATTAATTTGCTGTATTCTTCTTCAGGAGCAACCTCAGATAAAGAATCACTCATTCACATCTGGCATGAAACTCGAGGCAATAAATCCTAAAGACCCTTCTTGTATTGTTCCTGCAACAGTCACTAAGGTAACAGAAATCTTCTTTCTCCTTCATTAAAGATGATCTCTGGTTCAAACTTTCTATGAGGGGAAAAAATTGAGGTTCTTAAGGCTCAAGAAGGCAGTCCAAAATATGTGCAAGTGTAACAACTGATGCTGATTTGAAGCCAAAAGGTAGTCACACCAAATATTAATTTGATTTAGATTTTTCTTCTGTTCACTCACTTTGCATTTTGTAAATTTATTAACACACACACACACACACACACATATATATATATATATATATATATATATATATATATATACACACACACACACATTGTGAAGTTTGAGGTTATCTAGTATAGCGCCCACTAGCGAGTAAAGTCCACGCCAGATATTTCCATTGAAGTGCTTTATGGTCCACTTTTATGTAAAGGAAAGTTCACACAAATATCCATAAAGCATAATTTCCCATGCGCAGGGGCTTCACCGCTAACACAAAACCTGAAATATTCAGCCTCCTGGCTCACTTTAGTAACAAAATAATGATATAGCCTCCTGGCCAACACATACCACTGTGCTACTCATGGCTTGCACCTTAGCCCCCTCGTCTGTCTCCCACAGACCATTTCCTTGCCAACACTGTCCACATAGGTAGCAGCCCTTTGCTGCTCTGGCCCTCAGGCTTGAGTCTCTGTTTTTTCCAGCACAGACATGCACCCCTCTGCCTTCTCCCTTGCACACCTGAACTCCTCGGGAGGGTGGAGCCCAGAACAATGGCCATGTCACTATTAATATCCCACACACACACCTGACCAGTCAGTGTGCTGGTGATTCTGAAAACCTGGACCCAGGACTAGGGATTTCATCCCACCAGGATCTCATAGGAAATCTCCAGAGTTAAGGTCCCATAAATGGGCTTAACAAAACAATGAGGAAACTGAAAAACCTGGAGCCCCCCACACACACACACACACACACACACACACACACACACACACACACACACACACACACACTAAAAAGTCTACACACCCCTGTCAGGTTTCTGTGATGTAAAAAAAATGAGACAAAGATAAATAATTTTAGAACTTTATCCACCTTATAATGTGACCTAAACTATACAACTCAATTGAAAAACAAACTGGAATGGTTTTTTTTTTTTTGGGGGGGGGGGGGGGTAAACGTAAAAAGCTAAAATAATGTGGTTGCATAAGTGTGCACACCCCCTTATAACTGGGGATGTAGCTTCAGAATGTAGTATTCAGAATTAAGAAATCACATTCAAAATCATGTTAAATAGGAGTCAGTACACACTTGCCATCATTTAAAGTGCCTCTGATTAGCCCCAAATAAAGTCAGCTGTTCTAGTAGGTATTTCCTGACATTTTCTTAGCCGCATCCTACAGCAAAAGCCATGGTCCGCAGAGCACTTTCAAAGCATCAGAGGGATCTCATTGTTAAAAGGTATCAGTCAGGAGAAAGGTATAAAAGAGTTTCCAAGGCATTAGATATTCCATGGAACACAGTGAAGTCTTCATCAAGTGGAGAAAATATGGCGCAACAGTGACATTATTAAGAAATGGACATCCCTCCAAAATTGAAGAAAACTGGTCTGGGAGGCTACCAAGAGGCCTACAGCAACATTAAAGGAGCTGCAGGAATATCTGGCAAGTACTGGCTGTGTGGTACATGTGACAAAAATCTCCCATATTCTTCATATGTCTGGGATATAGGGTAGAGTGGCAAGACGGAAGCCTTTTCTTACGAAGAAAATCATCCAAGCCCGGCTAATTTTGCAAAAACATATCTGAAAAGCATGTGGGAAAATGTGTTATGTTCTGATGAAACCAATAACACTGTTATGTTTCTGATGAAACCAACAACACTGCACATCACCAAAAGAACACCATACCCACAGTGAAGCATGGCGGCAGCAGCATCATGCTTTAGGGATGCTTTTTTCAGCTGGAACTGGGGCCCTTAGTCAAGGTAGCGGGAAAATGAACAGTTCCAAATACCAGTCAAGATTGGCACAGAACCTTCAGGCTTCTGTTAGAAAGCTGAACATGAAGAAGAACTTCAACTTTCAGCATGACAATGACCCAAAGCATACATCAAAATTAACAAAGGAATGGCTTCACCAGAAGAAAATTAAAGTTTTGGAATTGCCCAGGCAGAGCCCAGACCTGAATCCGATAGAATATCTGTTATCTGAAGAGGGCTGTGCACAGGACATGCCCTCACAATCTGACGGATTTGGAGTGTTTTTGCAAGGAAGAGTGGGCAAATATTGCCAAGTCATGATGTGCCATGCTGATAGACTCATATCCAAAAAGACTGAATTCTGTAATAAAATCAAAAGGTGCTTCAACAAAGTATTAGCTTAAGGGTGGGCACACTTATGCAACCATATTATTTTAGTTTTTTATTTTTACTTCCCTCCACCTAAAAGATTTCACTTTGTTGTTCAACTGAGTTGTACAGTAAATAGGTTACATTAAAGGTGGAAAAAGTTCTGAAATTATTTATCCTTGTCTCTATTTTTACATCACAGACACCTGACATTTTAATGGGCATGTGGACTTTTTATATCCAGTGTGTGTGTATATGAAAGCATTCTTACTTAACAGCATTTCTTCACACCTGCCTAAAACATTTGCATAGCAGTGTATATAAAGATTGTGATCCCCTCCTCTTCAGTTCTTTATTCAAACACATAACTCAAACTCGCCTTACAAAGGTTTTCAAAAATTTTACAGAAGGGCAGCCTTGGACATTAAATGATTTTGGGTTGAACTTGAGGAGAATATCTTCCAACCTCAGAAATTAAGACATATTGGATATAATGTCAAAATGAATAAAACACTTTGGCCATTACAAACTAAGAAAACACTTTTTGCTTAGACCAGAGTTCCTCTTCAACAGTCTTCTATCCCAATTGGCCATTCACACGTGCTGTAGAACTGTTTAATCCAAATCCACTGTCTTGCAGGTTTTTAATGAGCAGTATTTCCTTGTTGAGCTGGATGATCTTCGGTCTCAGGACTCTACTAGTCACCAGTCTATGATCTGCCATAAGAGCTGCTCAGGAATTATTCCTGCCCGTTGGAGTCAGAAGATGGCCTTATCTGTCCGCTCACCTTTAGGTATGTGTATGGAGTTTTGTACTATGTGTATATAGGTACAAAACCAAATGCAAAATAAAAAAGAAAAATTCACCTCAGTCCATGAGGTAAAGCCCCAGGGTGGGGTGACAAAAAGGGGTTATTAATGGCCACATCTATACAGATACAGGATCCTTGTTATAATTGTAGCATTCAAAAAAGATATTGACTAGAACAACAGAGGAAGTCTTCCATAATCCGCAAGTTGGTGGCATTGAAGAGTTGTGGGCAGAAATGCAACCGGCAGGCTGATCAGTGCTATCAACAAACTCACATGATGCCTCAGTGACATCGACTCATTTCGCTTACGTCAAAGCGTAGCTTCGCCATGACACATTGGCGTCACTGAGGCATCATGTGACATCATTTAGCCACGCCTTTCCATCTAACCCCAGCAGTAGCGGAACATCCAAAGGTACCAGCAGCGTTGGAGGGCAGTCTTAATAGCACAGTGACTCCATAGGACTGATGGCCATCCTTTGGTATTCCATCGGAAGATGTTGAAAGTCAGTGAGGTGCAGTAAGAGCAGCATGTATACGTGGACTGTTATTATGAAGGATGATATGGCGTTTTATTAACCCGCACCTCTTAAAAGTCTGATGCAAGGTAGAGATTGAGGTATGGATAAATTTAGCGCCTTATGATCTACGTGCTTGTCCTCCCTGACTGTCTCATCCATTGACCTCAAACACAAACTTTGACTGTGCTTAGTTGCTGTTTGCATCTCATATCCTAAGTCTGTGCTTGCTGTAGGCTTCTCCCTATGTGGAGCATTCTGTGTGATCTTACCTGATTACCTAGTGAATGTCAGATGGAAAGTAAATTGAACCAGCGAAAAAACTATCCACCCGGAAGATTGATCACACAATTGCTGATATTCTCTGGGACATTTTGCTGACTGCTTGCTACTGTGCTGCTTTAGTGCTATGCTTTTAAAAATGCAGCCCTCAAATCTGTGGAGAATATATGCATCAACTTAATGAATCTATAAATGGACTTTATTCAGTATACCATCTGAATATGATACTCTATTGAAAGTGGCACTATCAAGTTATTGAGTTTGTTGATAGCATTGGCCAGCCTACTGCCGTTTGATTTCTGCCCAAAACTCTTCAATGCTACCAACTTGTGGATTATGGAAGACTTACTCTGTTGTTCTAGCCAATATCTTTTTTGAATGCTACAATAATAATAAGGATCCTGTATCTGGATAGATGTGTCACAGGCAGATATTCCATGAGTATAGTCACTGGGGCCATTATGTAACATAACCTTATAGCTAGTAAATCATAGTTACATATGGGTATGTGGCTTTGGTCCACGCTATAATTTTATGTTACATAATTTTCAACTTGACATCCAGACGTCTTAACAGTGTACATTGTTTTTATGTGTATTTTTGTGCACTTTGGTTGAGGTGAACCGAGCAATGTATGTTTATAAGTTAGACATTACTTAATAAATGTTATCTCTTTTTGATATTTTGGAATAAATCATTTTTTTTCCTCATTTTCTAATCCCTGTAAGCCTTATTTGCGATTGATAACCCCTCTTTGTCACCCCTCCCTATATGTGCACATATATAGCAGCCATGTTAAGTATGGTTTGGAAAAGTATACAGTCATTAACCATTTCAATACCGTGCAATTTTACACCTTCCTGCCCAGGCCATTTTTCAGGTTTCAGCGCTCTCACACTTTGAATGACAATTGCGCGGTCATACAACACTGTACCCAAACTAAAATTTTATCATTTTCTTCACACAACTAGAGCTTTCTTTTGGTGGTATTTAATCACCGCTGGGGTTTTTATTTTTTGCTAAATTAACAAAAAAAGACCAAAAATTTTGAAAAAAAAAACACATTTTTCTTTGTTTCTGTTATAAAAGTTTACAAATAAATAATTGTTCTTCATAAATTTAGGCCGAGATGTATTCTGCTACATGTCTTTGGTGAAAATAACCCAAATTAGGATGTATTATTTAGTTTGTAGGAAAGTTATAGAGTTCACAAACTATGGTATAGATCTGAATATTGATCAATCCTGAAGTACTGACGGCCAATCTAATTTCTTGAGGTCCAAGAATGTCAGAATAGTACAGATATCCCCAAATGACCCCTTTTTGCAGAGTAGACAGTCCGACGTACTTCATAAGAGGCATGGCGAGTTTTTTGAAGTTGTATTTTTTTTGTCATTTTTTTGGAAAATTAAAAAATTAAAAAAATTATTTTCACTATTTTTTTTTTTTTTTTTACATACTGTCACAGCGTCATCATATAACTGGCATGGCGGTGAACAGGGACACTGACTGGTGACAGTATGAAAAAAATATTTATATATATATATTTGTTTTTATTTTTTTTTTTTTTTTTTTATTTTTAATTTTTTATTAAATTTTTTTTATTTTTTTTAAGATTTTTTTTTTCATATTTTACTATGACCAAAGTAGTACAATGTTACCATAGTAACATTGTACTGCTTTGGGGAAGTGATCAGTATTTTTTTTTTTTTTTTTTTACACAATTTGCTTATAGCAAAGAATTACTTTGCTATAAGCAAGCATTTACCTGAATGAAATCGATTCATTCAGCTTTTTTTTTTTTTTTTTTTTTTTTGTGCTTAGCTGTGATTTGGTCACAGCTAATCACATGACATGTGCATGTGATTAGCTGTGACCATTCACAGCTAGGCACTAGTATACAATGGATGGCATGAATGAAGCCATCCATTGTATACAACTGTCATGTGACCTGCTGTGATTGGTCACAGCAGGTCACATGGTACCAGCAACGGGAGCCGGTACTCGGATCTGTCATCGGCCGTTTCCGAGGTACACGGCCGGTGACAGATCGCGCTGCTGCGCCGCTCTGCATTAGCGCAAACTGCGCATGTGCGGGAGCACGCCAAATGGCGTGCACCCAGAATGCAGCAACACATTTGAAGCCGCCAAACGGCCATTGGCCGGGCGGCAAATGGTTAAAGTGACCTCTCAAACCATGCTATCATATGTGATAATATTGTTTAAGAAACTTTTTTGCCCTCCTGTTTTTGGGGGACAGGTCGTCCTCGCTAGCATGATTGATGACCGTGATTACCGAGTTTGCTTCCTTCTCTGGCTTTTCTATAAACAAGGACAAATCTACTCTCCTCCCAATAGATGCTTTGACACACCCTATGACCCCTGAAGCAGCACAGATAGAAATAGTCAAATCCTTTAAGTATTTGGGAATTCAGATACACCCAAACGTATCCAAATACACGGAGCTGATCCTGAGACTTAAAAAAATTCCAGCAAAAGGCGAACAGCTGGGGAAAACTCCCTTTATCTGTGATAGGGAGATATTTAATCAAAATTATACGGGCCCCCCAATTACTCTACATTCTACATAACGCTCCAACTTGGATTCCTGTTCAGATCTTCAAAAGATTCAACACGGTCTTTCGCTCTTTGATTTGGCAAAAGCGCCCCCCTCTTGCATTAAATTGGAGACTCTACAGGAATCTAAGGCCTTGCAGTTCCAAATCACTTTACTATTTAGTGGCCCAATTGCAGCATTTTACAGCATGGCAGAACAGTACATATACAGACCCTATCAAACCCATTCTTTTGACAGTGACTGCTACTGATGATCTAGTGGAAAGTTTGGAAGCCAGCAGATTTAAAACCTTAGCACAGTTTCCTACTCTTGGTTTAATGGACTAAGTTGGGTGTAAGGCTAAACAGTTCCTCCAATACCAAGAGTTTACCCTATCTACTCGTATTTTTAACAATGTCAACTACTCTGAACTTTACAAGCTAAAAGGTTTTAATCACTGGTCACTGCCGGGGATTAAATACATTACTCAACCATATCGTGGTCAAACACTCAAAGATTTTCAAACTTCAAGAACGGAATGTGGTTTGCTCAATTCCGCCTTCTTTCAATATTTGCAACTTAGACATGCCATTAAGGCTGAAGCAAAAATTTCCCCCGTGGAAATCTTATTCAGCAACTAATACTTTCACCTTCTAAGAAGGGTCAAATATCTTTCCTGTATGGGGCCTTGATACAAAGGGTATCTAAGTCATCTTCCCTTAAATTTTAGAACACATTGGTCTAATGATCTAGGACATATTTCTGCTGAAGAGTGGTCCACAATACTTTCTAATGTCTTGGCTGTATCTGTATCCTTCTCTCAAAAACTAACTCAATTATTTATAATCCATCACACTTATCGTACCTGTGATGGAACGCCTGTCACCCCGATTGTGTGACTCCATCAGAGAACCGCTTCCTCGCTACTGGGACACAGGACCAAGGTATTATAGCAGGGCATTGCACCCAAGACTAGACGAGACTAGCTTAGATGCCAAACTGGAACTCTTTATTGAACAGAAAACTCAGGATTTTATACACTCCAGAAATAGGGCCCATCCCCTCATGAACAATAAAACAAATATTATACTTTAGGATAAACATCACACACTGATTAGATAATGAGGTGAAGCTGACATCAGGTTAATCCTATCATGTAGGCACCTCCAGAAGGATTTGCCAACAAAAAAGGTGACACAACTCCATTAACAATGGGAATGCACACCTAGGAGGCACACAATGGGAGAAGATAGTAAACACATAACACCTTTATAAACAAATTAGAGCAAGAGTCTGCAGCCTGAGGTTGTTTTGCTAAATATATCAACATCATCTTAGATTCTCTGAGTCTAGGAAGGAGGGGGGGTTGAAGAAGTCAATGCTAGTTTGGGCACAGAGACCCCAAATGTGTATCTTGGTTGTCCAGTTCTCAGAGTCTGTGTGTTTTTGAGGAGAGAGGCCAACTTCCCCTCCCTGGAGCTGTGAAGACACGTGAGGAGCTGGACAGAGGCCAGGGACGCTCTGTCCTGTTGCCAGTGCTTCAGCTGGGGACCCCAAATCCTCTGCTCTGGTGAGTGATGGGGAGGGAGAATGACCACCTCCCCTCCTGGAGTGTTGAACTGCTG